GGCGTCCGTGCACCAGGGGCTCGCGCAGCCACTTTCGGAAAGGATCGCTAGAGGTGTCACGCTTCCTCCCTGGCCCACCAAGACCCAGGAGCTTTGGAAGCACCTGGGCTCACCCCTCCTGCCAGGAGCTGCCTGTGTTTCCTGTTCGGGGAGGCCACCTGGAGCCCCGTCTGCTGGGAGTGCTGCCCATGGCAGGGGTCCCCGCCCGGCCTACTCTGTCCTACCACTCCTGTGAAATCTGGGTGCCAGAGGAGGAACCTCAGCCAGACAGGAAGTGACATTTTCCTACGGCTTCCCTTTCTCAGCCCCAGCCCCAACCCCCACACAAGCCTGTGATCTTGAAAGTGGGACTTGGCACTTTGGGGGGTCCCCAGTGGGCAGAGCCCCCAGCTAGGGCCTGGGAGAGCAGGGTCCCTTAGGCACCTGTACTGCCCTTAGCACCGTCACCTTCCCAACCGGGCATCTGGCCTTAACTTCGCAGTCCAGACTAGGAGGTGGGGGCACCCCAAGCACCTGGAGCCCATGGTTACCCAGCCCACGTCTGCTCTCAGTCTCAGGCCTGGCTGAGGGTACCTGTGCCCTGCAGGTGCCCTCCCTACTCAGCCGGCCTCCTCTTCCAGACCTCTTCCTCCCCTGCTAGGCTGTCGGGCCTTGCGTGGAGCTGGCAGGTCTCTGGAACCCCAGCCCCTTCTGAAGCTCCGGTGGTGCCCACCTCACCTCCGCACCGAGCCCTTCAGCTCCAACCCCACAGACTCGCCATCATGCCCAAGGCTGGGGTGGGAGCACGGGCCATGCTTTCTGGGCCAGCACTCCCTCCGCTCCCTGTCTGAGGTCCTGGAATCCCCCTCCCAGGACAGCTGTTCCCGGATTTGCTTCTCGGAAGCCTCTGGGACGTGGAGCAGGAGAAGCCATGCAGTCAGTCCCCCCAGCCCTGCACACACACGCCGGCTAACTGGAGGCCGAAGGCACTTTCTGTCGGAGGCCAGGGCTGCCTGTGGTTGGGCTGCTGTCGCTGTGGGACTTCCTGCCTGGAACTGTGGAGCTGACCTCTGCTCCCGGGGTTCCCCAGGTGGGGTGCAGCTCCCCCAGTAGTTAGGATGCACCTAGAAATAGGGTCCCTGGGCCAGCAGGTGGCACAGTGGTTAAGGAGGCTGGATCCCACGTGGCCAACTGCATGGTTTGAGTCTTAGACCCAGTAGCTTGAGAAACACGTCAGGTGCGTGTGCATGTGTGCCCAGAGTCCCCAGGGGTGAATGAAGACAGGGATTTTAAGGATCACCGCTGGGGGGAGGATTTCTCAATTTTGCCCTCTCTGTGTCTTTCTCTAGCAAGTGCGCATGCCCTATAGTAAAACAAACAAAAACAAAGCAAGAGAAAGGAAAACAGGGCCACTTAGGCTCCACAGGGATGCCCATTGCCCTTTAAGAGGTGCCCCAAAGCCTCCTCCTGGGGACAGATACCTCTGGTTTGGGGAGCCTCATCTCTATAGGCCCCTTGGTGAGGGGTGGGGGCCTCAGGCTCCCAGAACCTGGGCCTGGCCACCTCAGGCCAGCCAAGGAGCCAGGACCTGCCAGGGTGTGGGCTGCTCACACCCTACCTGG